ATATCACAAGATACCATTGGCACAGCACTTCCAGGCACTAAATACACAGATATGAAAACAATCAACGCACAGGGTACGGCACATGAAGAAGAACATCATCCCACGTAGAAAAAATGTGTAGAAGTTTACTTTTTACAAACACTTCCATTAGAACAACATCATAGAAAGATGGTTCACACATAATCAGACCATGATGATCAGAACCCTTGTATATCACATACAATAGTATTGCTTTCAGGATGCAAACTTTTGAGAGTAGTGCAAACTCTGTAGATATTATTCGATAAGGCACAATACTTACCTATAGCACGTAGCCTTATTCTTGAGCACAATTTCACGGTAGTTCCATTAGTACAGTACATCCAAGGCACTGCGATTAGGACAATGAACGCGACGGGTGATTGACGCATAGGAAAGCAGAGCACTTCCATCAGGACAACACTGCCGAAAGATGGTTCACAGACATCAGTTAATAATGATCAAAATATAACTGGATGAAGATTGGCAGTAGTGATTTGCTCCTCATTTCCAAATCACACTCCCTGTGAGTTGGAAATGTCATTCTCTAAAGATATAAAATATATAGGTGGGCAAGGTATAAATGCACAAGGTGAATCAATTTAAAGAACACAAATTTTCACAGAAAATGTGGAACATGTCCAGAAACACAATCATTCAATTGAAATATTATCGTTCAGACACATCGCAGACAAGTTGATGAGATTGCGCATGTAGTTTTAGCGTTATATTATTTGATGTGTTATTTTAGAGATACTTTTAGCAAGTCTGGTGAAGGCATTATAAACTTCAAGAGATGTCCGTATGTCTGATAATTGGCAGGGCCAGTTAATTCCTAGTTGATTTAGTAGTAATTTTAGCTATTAGTCGTTCACGATCAAATAGTCGAATCATAAAAATAATGTTTGAAACCATCTGTCCGAAGACAAGTAGGGCATTGGTCAGAGTGTCTATTAGTGAACCTAACAAGATATGAAGCGTATTTGCCATGATTGAACAGCTGCGTGGTGTAGTAGGTGGGTGAATACCACTGTATCATGAAAAATTTACGGAGGTCCAACGGCAAATTTACGGCAGCGCACCAAACGGCGGGCGCGATTTCTGATAAGTTATTTTTCTGCAAAAACTTCGTTAAACTTTGGAGACACCATTAATATAAATAATTTTTATGGCTGTTGAATAAGAAATGTTTCTTTCACAAGAAATGTATAAAATTACAGTACTGTATTAGACTTACGGTACCTAATTTACACACTGTATAGACGATAGTAAACTCAACTTACTCGCCTAAACTCTCCGTAGCGTAGCGCTGGACGGCGGTATTTAATTATAA